TAATTTAATGAAAACACAGCAATTGCATTTTCAAAATAAACAGATCATTGCCATTCTTGCAGACTTTCGTAATAGAAACCCAATTAATGAAAGCTTGTTCACATATGTGAGACTGATGAGACAGAATGTGAACTAATACTTGCAGACTAATGAAAAAAGTTGCTGTCAGTCAGTAATATAAATCTTCCTACATGTAAACATTCTTCATAGGAGCATTGTGAATAATTTTTGCACATAGGAAAAGATCAACAGAATTTTATTAACAATTTTTAAAATAACTGGTTTTAAAGATGCCGTAGGAACAGATTGGTTTCAGTGTTTACAAGGCTGCCCAAAAGAGGAAGTGAACATACCTGAGCAGGTTGGCAGTGGGGCATCCCAATCTCCAGTTTCTAAACACTTAATTTCAGCAGAGCCCTCTATGTCATATTCTTCTCTGCAGTAAAAACGTAATTTATTTCCAGATTTCACCAGATTATTTTCGGGTGGAAATCCAGAAATTCCAAGACCAGGACCCAATTGTGGAACTCTACAAGGAATGCCTAAAAAAACAAAATAGACATAAACAAGTTAGAAAACACAAAAACGTTTTCAACTAACTCTGTCAAAACGTTATGTTACCACCCATTAATTTTTAGTAATAAGCACAGTGCTTGGCACTAATAGGAACGAACACATTTCCTGTGAACTATGTTAAATCAATTAACGTTTTAGAAACTATATTTATTTAGCCCAAAGAGCTATTTTTTCGTACCTGGACATTCTTCCGTTTTTATCCACTCGCCGTTCCTGCATGTTGCATTTCCTCCTGCTTTTACATGCGGAGAAGTGCACACATACTCAATCACTTCTCCTTCGAGATATCTCTGTTTTTCCATAGCTTCTTCAACCACTAGTCTTGAACTAGTAAGCTTTTCACAATAAGCTGAAAGGAATTCACACAGTGTTACAACCCTGTTGAAATGTGATGCTAAAATGGCATTTTGTTTTCATTTCTATCAGTTTAGTATTTGACTGTGTTGATATTCTTCTTTAAAGGTAAAACAGGATGACGAGGAAAAGGCGGAGTAAAAACACCCCCCACTTTGGGCTCCCCAAAGGGATGGGTTAAATGCAGAGAGTTAATTTCATTGCTCTGTACTTGTGACAGTGTAATGACAATAAAAAAAAAAACCCAATAAAACTGTTTTACATGCAAAGTTAATGGTTGACGGGCATCAAGAACCATAAAAAGGTCCATAGACCTAGCCATAGACCAATATCGGGTATTGCAGGCTAACAAAGAACCTTTTAAGCCGAAACAAGGCTTTGTTTTGGTCAATTCTATAAAGCTTTGAACTCAACGCTAATTCTGTCATTTTGAGTTGAAAAAGCTTCCTTGATGGGAGGCAAAACCAGTCCAGTGGATTGTTTTTTAACTGTTTTGGAATCAAAAGGTCATGCGGAGCATTTTGAGCAGCAGGAGAAGCGCCTCACGAGCGTCTGAGCATCTGAAGCAGTGACGTACTTCACAAGCGGCACCTGCTAGAGTTGTAAAATTGAACTTTTGCTGCCTCACGTGCCACATTAACCAATCAGAGAAGCTGATCTGGGAGCTCGCAGGGAGACAGACACAGCGTTGCTGATGCAGATCTCTGTGATGACTCCCTTGAAATAGTTTATTAACGCCTAAATTAACTTAAAATGTTGAAACCTGCTAGCAAAATATGTTCGCTTTTATTACTGTTGTGCCTACAGTTTGGCTCACGAACATGAAAACCTTTAACATCTCCTTCCAGCCACCACAAACAATAGTGGAAAACCCCTAAGAGGAGACCGGCCAAGAGGCTTTTTTCCCCCTTTTTTTTTATTGAAATATTTTGCTAACAAAATATGCAGATCTTAGAAACAAAAAATTATACGAAACTTACAAACAAACAATTATACAGAAGAACAATAGACAGGTGCTCTAGAATAAAAAAAAATAAAAAAAACATACAAAAAACAAAATAGATTATTCTTTGAAAAATCTCTCCAAAATATCCTTGGAAGTATTGCTCTGTTTTTAATTAATTAACGTAAGGGATTTCATGTACTCTTTGAATTCATGCAAGAAACACCTGAAGTTGGGGGACATTTTGGAAAATGTACATTTGTGTTTATGAAATTTGCCATAAAAAATTAGTAGGTAGAACTTTATTAAACTAAAAATGGCTCCAAATCAAGAGATAAAGACTATTAGGGATATCCTTAGTTATGTATTTAAATTCTTTGTATGTGACAGGAAATGACTTAAGACTAAGAAAGTGCCTGTAACTCAGCATTATACCATGAGAATCAAAAAAGTCACATACAAAAATAGCGTTTTTATCAACCCAGTACCGTAACAATATGGATTTTGTCCTGATGATAATCTTCATTGTTCCAACTAAAGGTTTTGTGAGGAGAAAATTTATGGGAGTAGCACAGTTTCCATGCTAAGAGAGCCTATTGGTGAAATTGGGATAGTTTTAAAGGTACTTTTGTAACACCAGGCGAGTAAAAAATGCAAACTACCCAATTTTAAAAAAATATTCTTTGGGATGAAAAACCAAATTGAGTTAGTGGTTTTGAGACATTCCTTTATCCATTTCATTTTAAAGGTGTTATTCAAGTTATTGAAATTTAATAAATCAAATCCTCCTTGTATTTTGGGAGCTATAAGAATTTCACTCTTCAAAAGAGGCTTCTAATTTTTACAATTAAAATTGATGAGAATTTTATTTATTTATATCTGGATGATGAATCATCAACTAAAAGCGATATGGCATGATATACAAGTCTTGAAATGCCTTCGGCTTTAGATAAGAGAATTCTGCCAATAGTCAAGTCGGAGCCACATATTCATTATGTTTTGGGTTTTTCTAACTCTGGGGAAGAAGTTAAGATTTTGTATAGAAGATAAATCTTTAGTGACATCAATGCCTAAGCATTTCACTGTTTCTTTTACTTGAATATCGCACATGTTTTATACAATCGGTATCACAAAGACACAAGATTTCACATTTATTAATGTTGAGATGTAAACATGAAGCTTTAGAGAAATCACAAACTAATTTTAAAGCTGGCTCAATTTGCAATTTGTCCTTTAGAAATAGAGTCGTTTCATCAGCTAGTTGTGTAATTCTAATTTCCTTTTGAAATGTGGTTAAGCCTTTTATATTGCCGTTATTTCTGATTTTTAGCGCAATTAGGAACAAAAAGGGAGAAATGGGGCACCCTTGACAGGCAGAACAGCTAATATGAAATCTTTCAGAGGTGGAGGGATAGATAATTAAATTACTGTTAATTTCTTTGTGTTACATTTTAATAATTGAGATAAAGTTTTCTCCAAATCCCATTAACTTCAATGCATTAAAAATAAAGGGGTGTTCTAATGTGTCAAAAGCTTTGTAGAAATCAAAAAATACAATTACTGCTTGTGACTCCACATGATCTAAACAGTCAAGTAAATCTAAGATTAATCTGACATTATTACAGATGTGTCAGTTAGACATAAATCCTGTTTGGCATTCACTTATTAAGATTAGTTTTAAGAGCCTAGAATAGACCAAAACAAATAATTTATGATCTACATTCAGGAGTGAGATGGGTCTCCAATTTTCTATATATAGGGGGTCTGTTGGGTTGTGGAATAAGGCTAATTAGACCTTGTTTCATAGTTGAAGTCATTACATTATTTTCAATACATTCCCTATATCAGTGGTTCCCAAAGTGTGGGGCGCGAC